GTTCTCTGCGCTGAACTTGCCGAGCATCTTGAAACGTGGATCCTTGGGCCATGAATTTATCGGCAGCCTAAAGACCTCCTCATGCACGTCAACGAACCCCGCTTGCTCGTACCATCTCTTCAGCTTGTTCGCGATTCGCAGTGGCTTGCCGAGGTTCATGGCAGCCTTGTCCTGTGTTTGGGTCCACTCTGCGAAGGCGTAATCCGGGCTCATGGTGCCGTCGTCGCAGTAGACAGTTGGCATGTACTCCTGCGACTCCATCCAGCCGCCAGGCTTGAGGTGGCGGAACGCCTTGGCTATTATGACACGGAAGTCCTCAAAGCAGCCGAGCATGACACGGGTGTGAATGAAGTCCTGGGGGTCGATCATCCAGTCCTCCTCGTTGGCATCGTCAATGACGAATTTGACGTTGTTGGGGACCCTTTCGATCGTCAGCTGTTGCTAAATCCATTTTCGCAATATGCGTACCATTCGGGCTGGATGGGCGAAAGATCTGTTCCTGTAATCTAGGCGCAATCAGACAAGAGTGACAGCCTTGTCGCATGACATACCTCAGCATGGGGGAACTTATTGCCTAGTACCAGTTAACACTGCATGGCCTGAGTTCGATTGTGGTCACCTACCCATCTCTATGGCCCATTTTCCAGTGCCTGTACCAATGTCGAGGATCTTGCGTGTGTTCCTTTCGTCCAGAGGCGCAAAGTAGTTTTTCCCCCTCATGAGGACTTTGAGAATCTCATACTGGAGCTCTAACCGGTCGTTCTCAGGCTGCATGGCATATGATCAGTCGCAAGGCTAGTGGGGGACAGGATATAGGAAGTGTTGTACCTGATCGTTAGGAAAGGGGTAGGCTACGTCCGTCAGCGGGTTGGATTATTACAATCAAGTACTATGGCACTCACAGCCAGCCTGATAGCGGTGATAGGTTCGGCCATTCTCGCGCACATACTCGAATATGCTCTGGTTGACTGAACGTGTGCTACTGTAGCGGGGTGAGCTCTTCAGACAGGCAGCATCAGGACAGGACGACGAACGTGCCACAGCTCTCTCCACCATCGGAGCCTGGGTCGGACTACGCGATTCGGTCAAGTCAGCTTTTGGAGCTCCGGCGGAGAGCGGGAGCGGGGAAGTGTATTAGAGAAGGGCCGAAAGGGCGGGTCTGCTGTGCCCCTCGAAAAACGTACATCAGCTTCGATGAACGATCGCGGGCTCAGACCGTCGGGCGACGACAGCGGCGAGTAGTCGTCGTCGCGCGGAGGCACCTGTATGCTCAGGGCCATGTTGGCGGGCCTGGAGGTCGTGGACGTCGACATGTCTGGCGGACGGAGGGGCGTCGGGTGTGAGGGGTGGTGTCTGTCGCTCTAAGAAGCTCCTCTCCGCGGTGGCAAGCGGCGGAAGCGGAGCGTGGAGAACCTTGGTAGATCCCAGCGACTCGGCGGACGGGTAAGTAGTAATCGCTTGGTTAAGCCTGTGCAGAATCCGACACGAAGGCACGGGTGGCCGACTGCAGCAAATCCCAGCTCTGTGGGTGCTGGCACCGTGTCTCGCTAACCCGCTCTGGTCAGAAGACGCGAAGAACACGGAGAAGCTCTGCGGACGTCTTGGGAGCGTGAGATGAGCGCCGAAAAACGAGGAACACGGCCACGGACCAGCGCGTCGGGTCAGGCCGTTGCAGACGTGTAGAAGAGACTAACGTGGCCGTGGAGTGCAGTTAAGTCGAGTCTTTCCGGGTGCAGCTGCAGGTGCGGAGGGAGGGGGATTAGTCATCTTCTATACAATGTTGAGATCTCGGAACCACGCTCTCCGATCTTGGAAATGGCAACACATCCATGGATGGCACTACACACATGGCACTACACATGTAAGAGTGAGTATCATTCATGTCTCATTAATACCTTCAGCAGCATGCCTGTGCGCTGAGAGCAGTCGTTACATCGTCCAGATGATCATCCATCTTCAGCACAGCTCCCTTCCCCAAGGTCCCGTCTAGTGATGCATGTGGCCTCCCTGCGCACCCAACCTGCTGGCCTCCTCGCTGCCCTTGGTAAACGTGCCGTCGGGGTTGCGCTAAAGACATCGTCAGCAAGATACTAGCCACAGACATTGTCATTATTACTCACTCCAGGATGGGATCCGCCAGTCGAGCCGTCACCACCGCTGTGGCCGCCGTGGGAGGCATGTCCGCCCTGGGCGCCCAATTTGCTGGCCTCCTCGCCGCCCTTAGTGAAGGTCCCGTCGGGGTTGCGCTATGAATATCGTCAGCAAAACAGTCAAGCCGCAATCAACGTCTGGCACATACTCCTGGGTGCGATCCACCAGACTCGCCGCCGTGACCGCCGTGAGAGGCATGTCCGCCCTGGGCTCCGAGCTCCTTGGCGAGTTCTGATCCCTTGGTGAAGGTGCCGTCCGGGTTGCGTCCAGCCTGTGATAACATCAGATATTGTGAACCTCTCGATCCAAGAAGACTCACCTCAGCGCCGCCACTCGCGTGGCTGACGTTGCTGCCAGACTGGCCGCCGCCGTGAGAAGCATGACCGCCCATGGCGGCGATCTCGCGGAGCTCGTCCTTGTCGCGGTTGGCGAAGTTGCCGGGGTTGGTGGAAGCCATGTTGGCAGTTGATGTTGGTTGAAGGGGCTTGAAGTTGTAAGAGAAGAGGTGTTGGTTTGTATGGGAGATGTGAGCAAGAATTGAAGCAAGAGTTAGTGTTATGGAGAGAGAGAGGGAGGAGCAGCAGAAGAGAGGGGGCAATATATAGCAGCCCTTGCAGCTTATGTACTGCTTTTCACCTCCTCTCCCGACAAACGTGGTGACGTACTGGCGGTCAGCCCATGTTGAGGGCAAAGGATGCCATGCCATGCCAAACAACAAACCAAGCCGATCTACGCCGATCTTCCGCCCTGCGACTGTTTCACGCCTTCTGATTTGCGGTCCCATGTGTTTTACGGAAACGATGCGTGTTGGTTCCCTCTCGGTTCACTCGTCCAGGTCCCACAAACCGTTGACATTGTGAGAGAGTGACATCATCTCCGATCTGAACGCGTCGACGCGCTGCCACGTGACGCCATAAGTGCGACCTTCACCTCTTGAGCGAGCAAGCAATCCTTGCTGTATAACGTGAAACTAGACTCCAGCGACCCGGCAGCTGTTCCATTTGTCTACTCCGCATCGCTTATGCAGAAAAAGCAATCAAAACTTTCCGATCCGCCTTAGTCGGTCCGAGCTCAACGCGTCTACTTAAGTAAACCTCCGAGCGCGTCACCCACACCATCCCCAACCTCAACTCCCACCAACAATTTCGCCCCCCTGTCCACCCCAATCCCACAACAACATGTCACTAAAACGCAAAGCGGCCGAAGCCGCCGCTACAGCCACCAAAAAAACCAAACCCAACACAAGCATAACCTCCTTCTTCGGCGCCCCCGTCAGCAAACCCAAACCCGCCATCGCCGATTTCAGCAAAGAAACATGGGTGTCTTCCCTCACAGACGAGCAGAAAACGCTTTTGAAACTAGAAATCGATACACTGCATGACAGCTGGCTTCCATACCTGAAAGACGTCTTCCTCTCGCCGCAGTTTCTGGAATTGAAACGGTTTCTAGATAAGGAGATTAAAGGTGGGAAAACGGTGTATCCGCCGTTTAAGGATGTGTATTCTTGGTATGTGATCAAATCTACTCACTCGAGAGGGCATGTTCAATGCAGGGCAGCAAATAGGCTAACAAGTACACAAAAAGGTCAAGACATACCCCCCTCAACACCGTCAAAGCCGTAATCCTAGGCCAAGACCCCTACCACGGCCCCAACCAAGCCCACGGCCTCTGTTTCTCCGTCCTACCACCCACCCCCGCACCCCCCTCCCTCCGCAACATCTACATCGCCCTCAAAAACGACTACCCGGATTTCGAGAAACCGCCGAAAAATGGCGGACTCCTGACGCCGTGGTCCGATCGCGGCGTGCTGATGATCAACACGTGTCTCACGGTTCGCAGGGGCGAGGCGAATAGCCATGCGGGGAAAGGATGGGAGACGCTCACGCAGAAGGTTATTGATACGGTGGCGAGGGAGAGGAAACAGGGTGTTGTGTTTTTGGCGTGGGGGAAACCGGCGGAGGGGAGGGTGAAGGGGGTTGATGCGAAGAGGCATTGTATTCTTAAGGCGCAGCATCCGAGTCCGTTGAGTGCGCATCGGCCGCCTGGATTTGTAAGTTCTTTGGAGTGCGTGAGTGTGAGAGAGGCTAACATGATTAGGCGAACTGCGGACACTTCAAGAAGACGAATGAGTGGTTGGTGGAGAAGTATGGGGAGGGCGCTGAGATAGACTGGAATCTTAACGTTGACCCCGAGAAGGCAGGGCACTAGATGTCTGGACGACATGTCTCTGTCTGCATCAAAGAGCTGAATTCTGCTTGTTGGTTCCATGGCACGATGTTCAGGCGTCTTTACTTACTGCTTGTGCGGTCATATTGAGGTTTGGGGGTTCTCATGGTCGGCACCTTTCTGCTCATCCTTCTGCTTTCGAACTTGTACAATATTAAGGTATCCGCCAGCGTCAGGCGTCAGAAGGGCTGGTGTTCATAATGAGGCACCAACATGCCCGGCTATCAAAAGTTGTTTTTCCTCTAAGATAATGTGTTCCAAAACCACTTTTTCGGTGTATTCGAAGGGAGTTGGCGGAAGGCGTTCTGGCTCCCCACTATTGCATTCCCCGAGTTGAAAAACAGGGCGGACAGGAACTGCCGCGTAACTACCTAGCTAGTCATCAGAAGTACACGATACAATGAAAGCAGGCTTGTTTCCGAGGTTGTGGTGGTCAAAATCAATCACTAAACAATTATCTCTGCAATATTCTGCAAAGGGACCATTACACCACCGACCCCAACAGCGAGGAAACGGACATCTGAAGCCCACCAGAAAAAAGAAAGAGAAAATGAAACCCGCTGGCTCCACGTCGGATTCAAGTGGATGGGTGATACGCATGCGTAGAGGACAAAAAAAATTGATGTCCCGTGCCAGACTCGAACTGGCGGCCTTGGGATGTCCGCTCTTATCGAGCAGTCATAGGATTGCTATGAGACCCACGTGATAACCAACTACACCAACGAGACGATTGTTGAATTGATGAGAGACACGAGCTGGTTAAAATCTATGTATAAGCAAACACCGGATTGTCGAGTGTCGAGATCCTTCAGCTAGAGACCAGAGTGCAGCATTATACAGAACTTCACAACGGACCTCGGCAGTACACCAAGACTTTGAAAACAATGCTATGTTCGGCTAAAAGTTATTTCGCGCTTGGCGGCGTCTTCGCCAAACCAGGGGATATCTAAACAACCACGAACACCCCACCCATGCATGCAAATCGCAACCATAAACGCCACTTCGAAAAGAAGACTCTCCGAGTTCTATTTCTCCCCGCAAAACTAGAAACCAAATCCACCAGGGAAATCAAAACCGCCCCCACCCTGTTGGAACTTAAAGTGCTGGCCGCCGCCTCCACCCCCTTGCCTAAAGAAGAACTGCTGACCCCCTCCGAAGCCGTTGAAACTAGCGCCCTGGAACGGATGCTGCTGTTGCTGCTCAGGATTATTCGGGTCGTCGCCGTTATCGAAGCGCTGCTTGAGCTCCGGGTCACTGAGAACCTCGTATGCCTCATTGATAGCCGCCATCTTCTTCTGGGCTTCTTCGGGGGTGATGCCATTTGCGGCAGCTTTATCCGGGTGGTGCTTGACTGATAACTTGCGGTAAGCCTTTTTGATTTCGCGTTCGTCTGCGTCGCGGGAGACACCGAGGACCTTGTAGTAGTCCTTTTGTTTGGAGCGTTTGAGGAGTGTATGTGCTTTTTGGAGTTTTTCTTGGATCTTGTCGGTATTGCCGTGGTGTTCTTTGGCGAGCTCGAGGGTACGGATGGCGGCTTCGAAGTCGTCGGCGTTGAACTCGTGTTGGGCTTGGTTGAGGAGGCCGTAAAGGGAGTGGGGGTTGTAGGTTAGCGCTTCTTTGCAGTAGGGTGTGGCTTTGTCGAATCGGTTCGTCATCTGTGAGGGTTAGTATCTGCGACGAGCAATTGCTTGGAGGGGGCTTACCTCGCTGTAGGCTTCACATGTAATCTCGACCAAGCTCGCATACAGCCCCTGGGGCGCATTTGGGTAGATATAGCCCTCCTTGACATACTCTTGGAAGTCATCCTTCACCTCCTTCAGCAGACCGGGCTCGTCTGCTCGCGGGACGAGCAGCTTCACTGCAGCGACGTTCTGCTTCTTCTCGTGTAGTTGCCTAGCCTTCTTGACTTGCTTCTCTAGATTCTTCTCCCGCCTCCTCAGCTTCGTGCACTTCTTGGAGTCCGGATCTGACTGCAAACACTGCGCGATATGCTTAAGGCCCTTTTCGGTCTCTCCTAATGAATAGAAAGCCATGGCGGAGCTCTGGAGATGGGGTCCAACGTCGCCTGTGTTCATCTGAAGGAGGTGCTGCAAGTCGCTAATGCCCTCGACGACCTCGCCCTTCTCGAACCGGCATCGCGCGCGAGTCTTGCGGAGATCATAAGCTGCGCCGGCGACAATGATGGCCTCGCCGGCGTTGTGTATACACGAGTCCCAGTCGCCCTTTGCGGCCGCCTCTTCTGCCAACACTGCTGCGCCCTGAGCGGCTTCGAGGGCGGCAACTTCGTCTTTCTTGCCAGCAGCCTCGTAGTCTTTACTCGCGGCCGCCCAGTCAGCTTTCCTGGCCTTTATCTTTGCGCGCTGCACCAGTGCGCCTTCGAAGCCGGGCTTGATCTCGAGCACCTTGTCGAAGTCATGCTGTGCTTGTGCAGCTCGCCCCAGCTGGAGGTATGCGGCGCCGCGGCGGAAGTAGGTGAGGTAGTTCTTGGGATCGCGCGAGATGGCGACGTCGAAGTAGGTGAGTGCTTCTTGGGCGTCTCCGGCGGCCAGCTTAGCACTGGCATCCTTGATCAACTGCGACACAGGTATATCGGCGGGGATGTCGGAGGGCGAGAGAGCGTGGGCTAGCGGAGTGGTGGAGAGCAACCCCAGCCCCAGCGCGAGGATGGACAAGCGCACGAGCATGGCGAATGTAGGGAGACGGAACAGAGAGCGGCGAGGGTATGGAAGGATGGGGAGCGTGATTCGGAATCGCCCTCGGGCATACGGAGGAGGAGAGTTGGGGTCCGCAAGTAAGATTTATAGAAACGTGGTTTCTGTTAACTTGTCAACTTGTCCTCAGAGCAGCATGGCAGGGGTCCAGTCGCGCCCGCCATACTGCAGTCTTCCAGCACCGGTGGGACACGCAGGGGGTGGTGCAGGGGGCTTTCTAAGGTAAATTACAGTGCCTAGACAAGCTAAAGTAACGGAAAAGGCTAGTTTCTATAGGAAAACGGGCTATGCGCGCATCTAATTAGGTATTTTAGTGTTAACGTTATGTATTAACTTTATTCTAAAAGTAAATATTCACTTAAATATAGATCTATAATGTATGTAAGGGGCTGAGAGCCCTGTACTAGTCCTCGGCTTTGGCCATCGGTTCATTAATCACGTGCTTAATGTCACGTGATTGTTAGATAGTTTTCCCGCTCCGTAGAGTTGTGTGAAGGTCCAGCGGGTATGGAAGTACCGTTTATGGATCTTGGTTGGTTCTCGGGGATGAGCGTCAGGGTTCTGTTACGATCACGAACTACGAAGCCACTTGACAGGTTCACGAGAAGGCGGGGTTGCGCCAACAAGTTGTGCGACGTGGTCATGTGACCAACAAT